TCTTCTCCCAGGCAACCGACAACAGGACAAGGGGACATGGGCTCAAGCTCTGCCAGGGGAGGTTTAGGTTAGATGTTAGGAAGAAATTCTTTACAGAGAGGGTAATCAAGCATTGGAACAGCCTACCCAGAGAGGTGGTGGATTCACCATCCCTGGAGGTTTTTAAGCAGAGATTGGATGTGGCCCTTAGTGCCATGATATAGTAATTGGAGTTGGATCAGGGGTTGGACTTGATGATCTTGGAGGTCTTTTCCAACCCAATCTATTCTATGATTCTATGATTCTATGATTCTATGTCTTGTAACTTCCTTGCAGGTTGTTGTAGGATCCATTGCTATGTGCGAACCAATTTTATGAATAGTTTATGCAACAATATTCAACAGACAATTGTTTAGATAATCAGTTTGGGTTTGATATTAGATGACAATGTTTTAGTTTTGGTTTATATCTGAAATATAAACAATTTAAAAAAAAAACAAAAACAGCTTTTCAGAAGGGTTTCTGCAGACCATTGATACCCCTAATTTTCAAACTTGACAGTGCTCTCCTTCAGCTTCCACAAAAACAAGCACATTGATTAAAAAGAAGCCATTGCAAATCAGAAACACTGTTATCTGACAATTTTTAGCTTTGCAAAATAATTTGATTCATAAAGACATTACATCAAAATTACAAAAATTACTACTGAAATAGGTATTAGCTGTCAGTCTTCTTGGTCACAGAAGCAGAGTAATCAAGAATATTAGCAACATGCAGTCTTAGCTTCCATTCTGCCTTAAAAATTCTCCCATTAGGCAAACAGCTCAAAAAATAAAAAAAGATAATTTAAAACATCAAATTTTGCAGCCGTTCTAGACTTCAGACATCATGTACCCATAATACACCTAAAATCATAGGTTTATAATTTCTAGTTAACTTTCAGGTCAGATCCTGAGTCCATTTTAGGAATATCAATCCTGCATTCAAAAGGGTAATTGCACTTCATACAGATACATCAAGATAGAAACAAACCCCAAACAGGCACAGTTTTGGTCTCATGGTGCGAGGATGGCTGGTACAGCAAAACCAGCTGTGAATGGCATATGCCTGTATTTCACATTTCCCTTCAGCATTCTGGAAGCAAAGACCAAGAGAAAAAAACTTTCTCCACGTCCTCAGGGTAATTACGGAGATACACAGTGCAACTGGTCAGTGCATACTCATCACAACTTCCCATGCAGGTGCATGAACTTCACATGCAGAGCTCATACAACCTGCCTACCACATCCCTGCACATCAGGCTTCTTGCTACATCACTTATGTACTCCTTATGTAGTTCTTGTGTAGCCCCTACAGTAACAATAACCAATAAATGGTACCAGCATATGACTTTGAATCAACTGCATTATGACTGTCAACCAAGCTAACTAATTCAGTGGTATTTTAAAAGGTGCAGCTACAGCTTAGGCATACCTTAAAATGAGTATTTCAGACACTCCTCCCTCCCCAGCTATTAAACATGGCTTCAGAAAATTCCAAGCAATGTAACTGCCTAGCTAATAAAACCTTGATTATTACTGATGGGATTTAACATAAAATTTGCATAACCACTAATAAAAGCTACTGCAGTAAACAATCTTCATGCATCATGATGAGATTAAACAAGAAGTCTGCTAAACTGATAGGAAGCTTTGCAGTTTGTTTAATCTTTTACAGGGAAAATCTCTTTTATACAATTTCACATTGTACTCGCATACACATAATCATTTCTTGTGCACAAAGACTACTTTTTATAAAGGTATGAGGAGTTAGAAAGAAAATTAGGCAGGGCACTAAAAATTTGATTTCAAGCACACACACACACAGAGCGCTCTGTGCAGACAGATCGAAAACATGAACAAGCACAAAACAACAGAGACTTTTAGACTGTCTCGTTAGTCTCCCAAAGATAAAGTATATAAAAATATCACTATTGACCATAATTCAGTTGAACCCAAAATGCTCTCTGCAGCAGACGGTGAGACAAAGCAGTAGCACAGCGAGAGGCAGTCAACCTCGGAATTACATATGCTTTCAACAAGTTCCCTGAATATGGACAGTACTTATCAAATGGCGCACTCTTTCAGGACTTTGGAGCTTTATCTAATCAACGCTGGCAGAAGAGATTAACCCAGAACACATAGGAAACAGTTTTTCGCACTACTTGGGTTAAAAGTATCCACGTCTCCAATTAAATAGTGAATGCAAACTTTTAAAATTACAGCTCAGATGTGAAAATACTGAGCTACTTTATTTCAGTTTAAGTGGTAACAGTGACTAGAGTTCCACACGCAAAGCTCTCTTTCCTAAGGCCAAAACTACATTCCTAAAGGGGATGCATATTGGTACCATCCTTTTGTACATAATTTTAAAAGGCCCAGAGTAAAGTTCTTTTCCCAGTCATCTGAGAAATATGGGATGATGATACCATACCACAAAAAAAAAAAAAAAAAAATCATGAAGTGGTCCATGAAAAAATTCTGCTGCATGAAGATTGGTTTCCTGCAACTTTTTGCATCATAGTTGAACCAAATTGTCTCCACATCCCCTGTGTCTCTGAGACTTCACAGAATCAAAGTGCTGGTTGGGACAAACTTCTACCCAGGGGGAAACTTGCTAACAGCAGATGAAGTCAGCCACGGCTCTGTCCAAATCAGTTTCAAATTCCTCTGGGGACAGAAATTAAACCACTTCCATGGGCAAACTCTTCCAGGGCTGCTTTATCCCTGCAGAAAAAAGTTCCTCCCTACTGTTCAAACCCAAGTTAAAATTTGTACCATTACATCTCTCTTCTTGCCATCTGTCACTACTGACCAGAAATCAGCTTTAAGATCCTTGTAAATGCCCTTAATGAAGTTTTATTATGGTACTGGATTGCTCTTCTGATTCCTCTTTTCTAGACTACGTGAACTCAACTCTGTCAGCTTCTCCCTCAAGCTCACATTACTTAAGTCCCTCACCTGTTGCTAGACCTCTGAATGGTCTTTCTTCAGCTCTTCCACCTACCTCTTGAAGTTCAGTGCCTCCAAAACCAAATGGAGTATTCCAGACAGCCTCACAGATACTAAATAGAGGGGATAAAAACTATCCTTGAGGTGCTGCTACTAATGCAACCCAGTGCCTTATTTACCTTATTTGCAGTGACAGCAAGGTTCTCGCTCAATTCAATATAATTTCATTTGCACCAGGTGCTCTCTCTGCATTGAAGCTCTACCATCTAGAATGTCAAACAATGTGATTTAGTACATCTGCCAATATGCACAAAATGCCTCTTGCTTCATGACCTTCCTGACGACTGGAAGTAAAGCGGCATGAACCTTTCAGCAGCTAATTTTCAACCCATCTAAAATTCCACTTGCCTAGCCCATACTACTTCAGCTTCCAAATGAAACCTCTATGGAAGACAGTGACAAAATCTTTACTGAATTCAAGGGATCTCTTGCTTGCCCTCACCCATACAGCAACTTGTATGAGCCAAGGCAGCAATAAGGTGAGTCAAGAACAATTTGCCCTTGCTAAGTCCATACTGACTGATTCTGGCTATCTTCTTGTTGTTCTTCATATGTTTGGAAATGAGAATATACTCCATGATCTTTCCAGGCCATGAGATGAAGCTGAGTGGCCCATAGTTGCCAGATACTCCTTCTTGTCTTTCTTAAAGATGGATCAAACATCAACCTTTTCTCTTTCATTGGGGACCTCCCCCAGCTGCAGGCTTTTTGTAGTGATCTCACATCTTCCAGCTTTTTCAGTACCCTCAGTAGCTCCCATCCAATCCCACTCTTCTGGACATAGCTTCTACAAGTGGCCACTAATTTTGCTCTCTAGATGTTGTCTATGCCTCTCAAAAAATTCTGGCATATAGAGAGGTAGGGGAACAAGTTTTTAGTTGAAGCATTTAGTGCTTTCATTTTTCTGTATCATCATATACTAGCTTGTTTCTTCTATTCATCCATGAATTTACAACTTTCCCAAACTTCCCCTTGCTATCAATCCACTTTAAGAAACTCTTCTTATTATTTTAGCTAGTTTTGGCTTTAACTGGCCTTAATATTCTCTTCTACTTGATTGCGTTCCTATGTGACCAAGCTGTGATTTTGTACTCCCCCTCTGTTACCTGTCCTTGGTTTAGTATGCTCCATCTTTTGCATGGCACCTTTCTGAGTTTAAGTTCCCAAAACATTTACTCGTCAAGTGAGTCTTATTTAAAAGTCCCCAATCTTCTTGCCCAATAGGACTCTTTTTTTTCCTGAGCTCTCAGTAAGTTTTCACATTAAAATCAAACTTAACATTGGAAGACTGAGAAACCTGCCACTCAGACACCGGTCCTTACCTCTGGCCCCAGAAGCCTACAGTCACCTTCAATCTGCTGAAAGCTTTTCCTGGCTGCTTCACTGATGGCTGTCTAGATGAGCTGCCAAGGAAGCAGTCAGAAAGCTAGATAAGCTGTGGCAGCCTCTATGCAACACCATGGATCCAGGCTCCAGTCAAGCAGCAGCCCTCCCCAGATGACCAATCTGGCTGTCAAACAACAGGCTGTGTCCCATAGGGGGTGAAGTCACAAACCAGTAACGCTTGTCATGGCATCTTCATAGGATGGGTCTGATGCGAGGTGTCCAGCCTGCAGTCCCCCCACTAGCAGAGATCATCCATATTCCTCTGCTGATGAAACCTAGGCAAAGAGCCACAAACAGGGACAGAACCTTCTGCGTGTGCATCTGCCAACCTCCCCCCAGTCCAATACTTAAAAACTGGTAGGGGTCACCTACCAAGGTTAATTTGATCTGATAGCTGGGAGAGAGAGAGAGAAGAGAGAGACAGAGTGCAAGCACTGCAACCTGGGGCTAATCCAGCCCCGCATGGGCACCGGCTGGCCAGCCACATGGCAGCTGCCTGGGGCCACAGGCAAGCGCCTACTGCCCCTCTGCTTCCCGAATGGGTCAAAGACAAGTGCTGGGGAAGGGATCATAGGTCCTCTTGGCTAAAGGCTGTGGTAGACTATTTTAGGACCACTGAGATCACCACCCATCTGGCCAGCTTGAAACACATTCGACAGCGAGTTAAAATGTGTGACAGGAACAGAAACAGGCAGCAAAGTTATATAAGCGCTTTTTTTTTCCCTTTGGAAACCAGGCTAAGAAGTCACCCCTACACATGCATTTGTCCTCCATATCAGCAAACCTGGTTTCCAAATCCCGGTTTCCATTTCATGTATTTTTTTTATCCATTAAACATAATATCATCTAATTTCCTTCTCCATTCCTGGTTGGCACTATTGAGACCATACAGCCAGAATATGCTCTTTTTGTTTCTACATGATGGAGAAAAGACACAGGATGTCTCCATAGCACATGATTTTCTCTAACCCCCTTGTTCCAATATGCTGCTATAAAAAGGATCAGAATTTGTTTTATGTCTAAACACAGAAGATGAAGCAGGTGGTAAAATTCCAAGTCTTACTGTTGGACAGTTTTATCTATTACTCAGTTCCATCAACAGAAAATATAAATGGCTCAACACCATTAAAAAGGTTTTGCAGATTTGCTAACATAAAGTTGAAAATGTAGCTTTACAGAATATAGCATATTTTCCCCATGTTGGAAATATTTTTAAAAATTATTTAATACTACCCACTACCAAGCCTAAATGGTTAGATAACCCATTATATGGAAAATAACATCTTCCACAATCCTTAAATTGGATTTCATTCAAGATATACATAGTAAAATGAAGAACAAAAATCAAAAATAAAAAAAAGCTCTAGTCAAATCTACTGATTTGCATTTCAGTTGCAATGTAATAAAAACAAATGTAATATAAGCATTTGTGAGATTTAGTCAACTAATGAAATACAAGCAAATTATATTGATTTTTCCCCTCTCAACAGCTATGATTTAGATAATTTAAAGAAAACACCAAACAGTATTAATAAAACAGAAATGAACGCCTAAAGTTTCAATTCAAGTTGCTCCATGCAATCATTCTCATAAATAAAAACCAAGAATCACTAATTACTTTTTCCTTCAGTACTCATTATTACATATGTCATACTTCCTGAAGTCCTAGCTAAGAGCTGAAGGTTCAAGGTCACAATTTTTGACATTTTGGTTATTGCTAGTTGATGACTGAGACTTAGTTTTAATAGATGCCACAAAACTAACTAACAAATCAGACACTCCTTTAAAAGTCAGTACAAAAGGCCTTTCTAGTGCTTAAACCAGAAAATAATCTTATGAGGAATGGAAGGCAATAGGACATTATTTAATGTGCTATAGGGTGAGGAAGAGAACATAAACCAACCTGTCATTGCCTCAGAAGCTGGACATAAAAGACATTATTCCTCACAAGACTAATTGTCAAACTGCAACCCACCATTCAGTTTTGGAAGGGGTTAAATTGCCTGCCCTAAGCAATGGTAACTAACCAGAAGCTGAAGGTCCAATACCAGTACACTCAAAGCCATAGTAACACTTGAAATGAAAGCTTTAAACTTTGTTGTCTAAATTGCAGAAGACAGGTGTTTAAAGAAGGGATAGGCAAATCTATCTTTCAGGCCCATTTTCCTGGAGTAGAGTGGCAGTGAGGTTAGTTTAAATTGAACTTACTGTAAAAATAATGAAATAAATTATTGCTGTTTTCTTTAAAAAGGGAATTGACTTCTACTGATTAATAGGCAGAATGTTACTAAATAATCAGGCTTTATCCCTAACCTTTCCCCTATCCTCTAGAGAGGAAAGGCTTCAACTGAAACATTTTTGGCAGGTGAATCAGAGCAAATTAGGCTGTATTCTTTCCAACTGTACCCCTAAAACGGGGGGGGGGGCGGAAAAGGCAAACCAAACCCACAACAAATTATAAAACAAACAAGTAAAAAAACAAAACAAACAAAACCCAATCTATGTGAACTATACAACGAAATGTGAGAAATGTTGTCCCTTGATTCTGGAAGTACACAAACGTCTTTGGAAGTCAAGCACAACTGCTTGGTGTGAGATGGGACCTATGGAAATACTTCTTCATACACAAACTAAGGAATATTGCAGTGATTAGGCAGAAACTCAGTCCTTCCCCATCAAGAAGAAAGTTGTCCTATCTTTCTAGGAGTATTTCAATAGAGGTGTAGTTTGGAGAAGAGTGAGCAGCACTAGTCTTGGGTCTGTAACATTACAACACACCAACAGAAAATACTGCAAATATTTTAAAATAAAAATTTCTCTTAAAAGATGCTTTAAAGTTGCACTGCTGGCACTACTAAACTCACACTGGCTGCCACCTAGATATTTTAGTGTCACACTAATGGGTGATCCACATTCTTCTGCTTCTGCATCCACCAACATTTCAGTGTTTCACTAGCAACAGAAATGCTACCAATCTGTTCCCATGGATGCTGTAAGGACTCCTCCATGCAGTGGCATTTCAGATTTCTACATAAGAATAAGTACTCCAATGAGTATGAAATAATAAATACTTTACACAGAGTGCTGTCTCAATATGCAAGTTGGAGATAGGTTTACAGGAAGAGCCCCACTCCCCAGAGAAGTGATGGTGGTGATGTATTTTAAGCATCACCATTCTAATTTCAACAACCATTGTATTCCTTCTGTTCTACTGAAGTTCATGGTAGAATGAATCTTATAATCTCTAAGTGGTAATTATGATTCTTAAAAGACTGCCTTTTGTCACAAGGTCTTCAGAAGCTTTTAAGAAGAGATGAGGAGATGACAAGCAGGCAGGCAGACTTTTTTTGCCAGACAATAGAAATATTAAATAAATCAATCTTATAGGAAAAGGAAATAACTGTCACTTTACTATGTAAATATCCCTGTCTTCAAATACCACCATGCCCTGGAATAAGGATAAAGGTTTTATAGAAGAAAAGTTTAAAAAAAAAACACAATAACTGAAACTGATTTTAAGGTTTGGGGTTTTAAGGCTTATCTATTTTTCAAAATCTATTAGTTGGGTATTTTTTTTTTTTACTATTATATTTGTTTCTGGTTTTGGAGATTGCTTTTCTAACTTTAATTTCAACAGCATAGAAGTTTTCTTATAATTAATTCTTGTCTCCAAATAAAGATGAGAACCACAGTCTCTGGGTTTGTAGATTCTTCCCCAAGTGGAACATCATGGTCATGGTAGTCTCCCAAGAGTTCAAGACGCTTTTCTTCACTAAGCCTCAAAGCTTAGACCTGAAGAAGCAAGCCTGGTAAAATCTGCCTGGCAAGGAGTAAGAGAAGATTGAGATGCAGACATGGCTCCTCTGAACAGCAAGAGTCTAAGACGACACTACAGGATGAGGATATCCAGTTTTAAATAATCAAACAGCAAGAGACAGATTTTTAACACCACTTACAGAATCATCTTATTTTTGTCCAATAAAATAGTTTAGATTTAACCTTTCTGTAATAAAGAAGTTTTTGATTCCTTTGTGCTGTTTGCTAGAACAAAGGCTAAACTGAAGGGAAAAAACGATGGTTATCTAGACTTTTTCATCTGTTATTCCTCCCAAATTCCTTTATGCACTGCAGATGCCTTCCCTTTTCTCAGAACTTTCCTGTTAAGGATTCTCCTCCTCATGCCTCATTCTGCACTGACTTTTGGTGCCATTCCAGCCCCCAGAGACATGACAGAAACTGCAGACCCTGAACTCACACATACATACTCTCTCACACATACACACACACACACATTTTTCACGTGGATCCTACCCAGCTATTTTTCTCTTCTGTCAGTGTCGCAGCTGTGACTCCAGCACCTGGTTTGTGTGTTTGTCTCACCAGAGGCAGCTAAGCTGGCACACAAAGACGCCATTTCACCAGAAGAAAGGAGCACAGAGAAACTCAAAGGCTGCTACTAACTCCATCTCACACTCCTCCCTGAAAGCCTCCCACTCGCACCCAAAACCTAACGCTCTGCTGACCTGTTTCCCTATCTGATGGGGCTGCTTTTACAACCAAAACACAACAACACTGCCCACAAATGTGCAGAGAACAAACACCACGTGGGCCTATGTGTGCCTCTAGTAAGCTCTTCCTAGGCTGCTGAGAGCTAGCAAGCAAAAGTAACTCTGAGTCATGCTTTCTGGGTCAGAGCTCAAAAAGTTTGGGTTGTTTAGCTCAACAGGGCTACCATGTACTGCTTGGAGTCCTTCCAAAAACAAGGCACAGGTGTGCTCACTGCTGCTCCACACCACAACCTTTCTGGGGCAGAGCGGTGGTAGCAAAGGTAGTTTTTGATCTGAAGCCATGACAGGTTTGCTTTAGATACAGCAAAAAGTCCTCCAGGTAAAAACAAACAAACAAAACAACAAACCCCAAAACTAAACAAAAAGAAAAACCCCACCCAGCAAACAACAAAACCCCAAACCATTAATGTTTCCCAAACAACGATACATGAACATGCATCTTCTTAAAGAGGAATCTAATTAGTAAACTGGAGTATAAAGTAAAAATGAAAGCCACTGTTTGCAGCACTGAAGAATGAGAAATATTTAATTAGTGGTTATTCTTACCGTCTGAAGCCAAAGATTTGTTATTCTGAAATGGCTTCACTGTCAGTGGTTTCCAGCTAAACAGAGGCAGAACTGCAACAGACT